CCTCCACAACAAGAAATCATTCTTTCAATTCTCATACAAACAAAAGGCTTACAGGTGCAGCACTTCCCTCCTTTGATATTTTTCGATGTTTCCTGGGGGGGTTGTTCATACACAACACAACACTAAAGAGCAAGGGATCTACAGTACTTCTTTTGTTATCAGATTGTCTCTAGAAGTTTCGTTTTTGACGATATTCGCCATTTCTGTTTCTCTCTTCTTTCTCTGAAGCCTAAAGCTTTTCGGCTCTTATGTATAAAATATATACGTGCCGGAATAGCTCAGTCGGTATAGCGTCTGGCTGTGGCTTGTACAACCGAGGGGTTGGAGTTTGTGTCCCAGTACGGTCAAGAATTTTCTCTTCTCCACGTCGTCAAGGCCGGCTCTGGGGTCCACCCAACCTCTTATCCAATGGGTACCGGGGGCTTTCCCCGGGAATAAAGCGGTCGGGGCGTGAAGCTGACCACTCACCTCCAACTAGTGCCGACGTCAAGAAAATGTGGATCTACGCATCCACTCCCCCATACGCCTTCATGGTGTAGAGCTTAAGTAGTTACTCCCAAAACAACTTTACCTTTTTATGTACAAAATATTAGAACGTACAATTTCTCGTAGGAGAAAAAAAAAAGCATTTGAATATATTTTTCTTTACTCAAACTATTCTTCACTTAATGTTACGGGCAAAAACGCCTGTTCCGACTTCAACTAATCATTCCGTCTCATGAAAAGTTCCTCGCTCTTTGCATACGTTTTGTTTGTACCGTAGAATCCGTTTCAGTATTTCTTCTTCAGCAATGATTCTGCCGAAATTCAAATTCAAATTATTCATTTTTTTCAAATCTTTCATTCTTGACTATCAACTAGTTTGTTAAACTGCTTGGTAGTGCCTCTATATAACATGTAAATTAATTAGTTCTCCTTGTATATCAATTTTATTATTTTTGTAAAAGGCAAAAGTAAAGTTGTCTCTATACTTAATTAATTAAACACAACGCCATGAAGACGTACGGGGGAGCGGAGGTAGAGCTTCACCAATCCTGAACTCGGCACTACATGGAGGTGAATGTTCAGCATCACGCCTCTGCCGCTTTACCCCCTTGGAAAGAGTCCCTGGTACCCAGCGGCTAGGAAGATGAGAGGGCCCTAGAACCAGTATGGATGCTATAGAGAAGAGTAACTCTTGACCCCACCGACCAGACCATAGCCCGTCGTTATAGCGACTGAAACATTGCAGTATTCCACACATATATATGTATTTTGTTCTGTCTTCACTGGAACATTTCTGTGCCTGCAGGGTGGAGAGTTGCCAAGATAGCTGCGATGCTTTGGCACATTGTCGGTATTTTGACCACACCGGTATATGGTACAGGAGGTGATGTCGAACTCAGCATGGTCGCCAGCAAGATTTGAAAGTTAAGAGGTGACCTCCACCGGTGTCTAAATAAGAGATGCGTCAATGACTTTTATGCGACTCAAAAGGTTACGTGTAATTAAGAGTCAAATGTTAAATCCCTATAAAAAGTAAAGTAAAGCTCTCCCTGTAACAGGACGTGGAGGCCCATAGGGTTGTTAGACGTCGAGGCTCCCACATTTTCTAGACAATCGGATCATAGATGGCGGTAAGGTTGTCAGCCCTACGCGTCGGCCGCCCTGTACCGCCAAGAATATTCTTGGTACTCATTTCTGTTAGAGGCTGATTCGACCCCAGGGCCATAGTGCGGCTGGAAGGATGAGGTAAAATTAAAAAAAATACAATGACCTCATCTGGACTCGATCCCTGGACCTTCCGGCTTGTAGCATAGTGCCTCAACCAACTACGCTACCGCGTGCCCCCTATATCCAGTAGAATTTGGAAATGAAATCAAAGTGGTGATTTTACAATTTTATGGCAATGGATGTAATACTATCAGTGTAAAGGCCATTCAGTCGTACAATCACGCGGTTCTATTAATGGTCACGTGGTTTAAAAAAATTGATAACCTAAAAAATTTTAAAAAAGTAAAGTAAAAGTAAAGCTATCCCTGTACCAGGCCGTGAAGGCCCATAGGGTTGTGAGACGTTAAGGGGCCCACATTACCTTGACAATCGGCTCAAAGATTGCGGTAAGGTTGTCAGCCTTACGCGCCGGCTGCGCTTCACTCCCCAGGAAAATTATTTATTTAATTCCTGGTAATCATTCCTGTTAGAGGCTAAGTAAACCTCAGGGCCTAGTGCGGCCGGAAGGATTAGGTCAATTGAAAAAAACCAATGACCTCATCAGGACTTGAACCCGCGACCTTCCGGCTTGTAGCATAGTACCTTAACCACTACGCTACCGCGTACCCCCCAAAATTTTAAAGCACCCGAAAAATTTCGAAGAGTCCCATGTCCCAACTCAGCTAACCCAATCTGACCAATTTCTGCATGAATGTGCACGTGAATTAAGACAAAAAAATAAAAAAAATACAGAAACTTCGAAAATCTCAAATCTAGACAAAATATCGGAAATTAAAAAAAAATGTAAATCCTCGAAAATCTTAGCGCATGTTCAGGCGCAGTAAAAAACTAAAAGTTATTAAATTTAAGAAATCTGAAAATGTAAACGTTAAAAATCTGTCGACTACAAACGTTTCAGAATTTTCTGAAAATATATGAAACATTTTATAAACACCACAAACGTCCCAATAAAATAAAATAAGACAAGATTAAAATCCCATAATATATCAACAGCTTCAAAATTATAGAACATTCAGAATTTTCTAAAAACTTAGAAAATATAAAATAAAATATTTTCTAAAATAAAAACATCCGAACATTTCTAAAATTTAGATATGTCATAAATTGTCAGAGTAACGAATATTTCAAAATTCCAGATAATGTAACCAACTTGAATTTTAAACAATTTAAAAATTGTAAATTTTCGAAGACGTCAAACATTTCAAATTATTTTAAATGTCTGACATATGAACTTCTCTGAAAATCTAAAACACTGGAAAATTTCGAAAATTTTGCATCAATTTTTTCAAAATATGAATATTCGAAATGCAAAAAATTTCTGCCCGAATGGTCAGGATAATACGAAGGTGGCTGCGCAGTGGTCTAATTGGCAAACCTAACCTAACTTCACGCAGCCTAATCTCACTAAACTCTGCCTGAAAGAGCAAGTGGATACACAGTGCCCTGCTGCACCGAACCAACCTAACACAGCCTAATACACGCTCATCAGTAATGCGCATGGGGATGCATGATGACACTGAAGCTGTCAAACTAAAAATAAATTAATTAATTAAAATATTTCAAAATTTCAGTTTAAATATCTTCGGACGTATACTTTTAACTTCGAAAATATGATAATTTGAAAATTACAGAAATAACTTGACTTGAAAAAATTCGACGAATTCCAAACGGGATAAATTACGAAATCAAGACCAACAACAAGGAAACAAAATTAAATGCTGGAAAATTACAAACATATAAAAAAAGTGCATTACCAAATTTCTAAACTTTGAAAACCGAAAACGTTTACTATTTTCAAAAATCAAATATTTCCCAAAATATAAAAGATTGAAAAATTTCACAAATTTTTAAAAAATAAGAAAAATTTCCAAAATCCTTTCAGAATATCAGAAATATAAAATGATAAAAAATGTAGCGAAATGAAAATTTTTCTATCCTTAAAAATTTGTAATCCTTTTCGAAAATTTTAGAGCTCTTGAAAATACAAAAATAATAGGTATACGTTTGCGACACTTCAGGATTAATTTTAGCCAGTCAGTATAACAAAGCAATAGATACACACGCCTTCTGTTTTGTGGCAATCAAGAAAGATATACTCCAGCAAGCTTCATTAATAGGAATGCTACCAATATATTGTGAAACACTTTAATAAATAATCCAACATATAAAAGGAAACAAATGCATACAAAATGTGTTAACATTATCTCATATTTATACAAATTGATCAGAATACCCGCAATTATCAAACATAACTTGTAGTCGAAATCATGATTACATTCATAATGTTATATTTTAGCGTCCTGTTGCACTGATTTAAGTCCATGATTTATTTTATCCGTCTTCCAGTGCACACATTCATCTATTCCCTCTTCTCACTCACTACATGTTTCGGCACAAATGTGCCATCTTCAGGTGCTGATCCAATCCACGACAAACTAGTTCATTGCATGTAGTGAGTGAGAAGAGGGAATAGTTGAATGTGTGCACTGCAAGACGGATAAAATAAATTATGATTACATTCGTTAGATTTCAGGTTTTCACGGCGGTGACCATGAAGAAAGCAGTCTTCTGGGATGTGGCTCCACGTAGATATCTTGTTAACCGACGTTTCGGAGGAACGTATCGCCTCCATCTTCAGAGTAGAAGAAAAAATCCGCAAGCGAAGAACCAGCGTGAGTAGGTGCTAATAGACTAATAACACGGAGGCGATACGTTCCTCCGAAACGTCGGTTAATACAATATCTACACGGCGCCACATCCCAGAAGACTGTTTTCTTCATAATTACATTCGTCCTATAATTTATTATATTAAGTTTTAATGTTTTATTCTATTTAATTACTAGGTTGGTCATTTCTGAAGATCATGTAAGGGCCGAAACATGTGTGAAACAGTTATGTACCGATTAAATTATATGTTTACTAAAAATGTTGTCTGAACAAAGTAGGCTCCAGCTACACTCAAACGTACAGTGTTCTGAAGAGCCAATCGAACCTAATCTAAACTGACCTCAAAAGAAAGCCAATGAAACGAAAAACTATCAAATCTGAATAAAAATTTAAATATTTTCAAAGCTTAAATTTAAACCAAATTTAGGTGAGATAGTGATATAATAACTCAGTGCTGCACTCAACACGATTATTTCGAAACTGAACACACCAAATTCAGCGAATATAAATGCGAGTCTTGGCACTTCGAACTGACGTTTCAGGAACATCCGTGGGAATTCTCCAGCTGATACACTTAATAAATTAATATCATACGCAATAGTTTAATTTAAAACTTTTACCATGAGGAGGAATCTTTCCCAGATGACCGCAGGCTGAATTCTGCCGTTCCTTTCGATATTGGAATCACTGTTTCATATTCACGTGCTGTGTTTTCCTCCTCTGTTGTTCTGCAGCTTGATTTCACCTGTCCATTCCGGCCTGCTCTCGCTACGGCATCTGGTTTGTCACTGAACTGATTTACGCGATGTGTCCCGCACCGTATGCATCTGGTACGTTCCGTTGGATTTATTAGGGTGCACCGTTCACAGTGCCACTGCAGAACAGAAGCAATAGAGCCCATTCTCTTAGAATCATGGCTATTTTACCATGAAATATCATTCGGTATGCTAACAATTCCAGCCAGCTGATCCACCATATTGATGCATTTTGTCACCGAATTCGTCATGTAAACAAATCTGGGATTGGTCGGTGTTCACCAATCATAACGAGTTTTCTGATCCGTCTTCCCATAGCATGCATTGTGAAATCTTCGAAGTACACTACGTGTATGCAATTCCTTTCACTCTGCCACCTATCCGAGAAACTATGTAACTAATATCTTCATCCTAGTACCGTAGAAACCAAGTAACTATAGTCATCTTTCGGCAATGTACGAAAGTACATTCTTTGTGTCGGAAAAGGTGATGAGGAATGCTTACTTCTTAAGTTACGATATTCAATCATTTAGCTATAAACCAGCAATGGCAACGTAGATGTTGGGTGCGAAGGAACTGTGTGGTGCGGAGTGAGTGATGGGATGAGTGACACATTTTCTGTTAATTACTGTGCTATTTATATAAATTTCTTTGGATATGTCAAATACTAGCCTTGAGATTATTCACGAAGGCTGGTTGACGAAATCACCACCATCCAAGCCAATCTGGAGAGCGGTAAGAGCAGTTCCATTCGTATTTCGTATTTACAAAGATAACGAAGGACACAAGGTTCGTGGAGAGAGAGAGGTGAACCCTTAAGAGGAGATACATCATTATTCTTAAAGGGATTTGTAAATGTTTGCGGTACATACATTGTATCCATTTTAGAGAAGTACATTTACCATTTTCACTGCATGCTGCACGAAAGATAGACTCAGAACTGTCATGTACTGTCAGCATAAGTATTTGAAAAAGTTCCTTATTTGCATACTGGAATTCGTGTGACTGATATGCAGCAGAATCTGTAAGCAGCAAACAGAGGTTAAAGAATTCAGTCACTTATGTCACAAAACTGTGCTGCAGTTTATGGCTGAAGTATGTTTACTGAGATCCAGCGATGTGTTAACAACTAGGTACTTTTTTGTCATACCACTTTCCAAGGTTATATGGTTAGAGGACATAAATGTCTTGCATTTTGGATTACCATTCAGAGGGACTGGAGTTTGTTAGTAACATCAGTCAGTGTGACATGCTGTAAAATTTGGTCTCATGTGCCTTTTTGGAAGTTTTTTTTTTTTTATTCATTATACAGTTTCGATGGATGCAAACACTATTTTAAGTAAGGTTATTAAAGGGAATTTACATTTTCTGCTTGTCTGTCTAACACGATGCAATTTAAAATTTTTTTAAGTGAAAACTGTTTACAATTGTGTGAGGAAGATAATTTTTACTAAGAGATTATTTTGTTTATTTTTCAAAGTTAACTTGAATTACGGTTTTTTCCTCCCCAGTATTCGGTTCCATTGGCTAAGTTAATCAAAATGAAAGTATTCTTTTCATTTGTTAACAAATAATTGTATATATTGTATTTTAATAATGTTCTCTTTTAATTTGAACAGTCTGCTTAATATACCAAGAACTTATGTCTATGTTTTATTACAAAACTTTGCAAGATGAGTTTACAAACACGCTTTTTATTAAACAGTAGACATAACTATTATTTTGGATATTGACAAGTGTGTATTGTAAACTTAATCTGTTTCTGTCGTCAGGTATAAAGGGAGGAAATGTTTCTGTATTGAGGGATGAGATAATTCTCTGTATAAGGATTATACAATTTTTGTAAATTTGTTAAATTCAGTCTGGTTTCTCAAATAAAAAACAGTAAAAGAAATAACAAAAATAATTCGTAATTAAATCTGTCAGTTAGGCCTGTTAGAGAGAGCTGATTCTCCATATAGGGAGTGAGACCAACTCTTTCTGTGGACCTGAGTAGGAACCTACTGTCTGACACCTGACGAGGAAATCAATTCAGTTTCCAAAACGATGTTTGAAAAAACTTTCTGGCAGACAATGACAAAGATATGAGTCATGTTTATTGTAACACACAGTGATAAGAAACATGTAGACCTATGCATTCCGTTGTCTGAGCATCTGATCTTCAAACAGAGCATATAATTTCACTGTTAACTGAATTTTCAAACATGATGTCTTAAATGTTCTTACAGATTACGAAATAAATTTGAGATTATGCATGTTAATTTTTCTTATGCCCACTTCTGCCTTTTGCATTGTAATCACTGACTATATATATAAATTAAATTAAAACAGTACTGTAACTTCCAATTTCATTAATGCCTACCCACAACTTTACCATACACACAAGGATTTTGCAAGCACCTCATTGCTAAATCATTAGTCTTCTTTTGTGAGTTATTTTACAACGAAGTCAGTGTCTAGGGGTCACTCTGTAGCATAGTTGGTCGAAGCATTATGCTTCAAGCTCGAAAGTCGCGGGTTCTATTCCCGATGAGGTCATTGAACTTCTCAAATGACCTAATCTTTCCAGCCACACTATGACCGTGGAGTCGACTCAGCCTCTAACAGAAATGAGTACCAGGAATATTCTTGGGGGTAAATGGCGGCCTGCGCGTAAGGCTGACAACCTTGCCTCCATCTATGAGCCGATTGTATAGAAAATGTGGGAACCTCAATGTATCACAACCCTGTGGGCTTTCACGGCCTGTTACAGGGATATCGCAGAATTTGCCTGGATTTACTGAGGAAAATCGTGAAAAAGAATACTCGGCGTCTTCTCTTAGATTTGAACAGGGAGTCCCCAAAAATTAGGGTCGTTCCTACTTGAGCTGGATTGGTCAGTGCTGCGACTATAATAGCCCTAAGCAGACCTCAAGTTACTGCCATCCAGCTCAAATTTCTGGTACAATTTGTTGTGTCTCAGCTTCAGGGGAAAAATTCAGAACTTGAAAATACAGTATGGTAAAGCAGTTACGATTTAAGTACTGATGTGGAGATTGGGAGAAATATCGGCTCTGAATGAACCAGTGGATGACAGAAAGTTAGTCACCGTTGGCCCTTAAAGGGCCTATTTTAAGGGGAGAGTCTATTTGAGGAGAGGAAAATCAGTAACAAGTGTTCTTGTACAGTAGGAAGAAAGAGGAGGTGGTAGCCGTAACAATCTGTGTGCGCTTGAAAATGGCCCTGTTAAGGGCCCCAAATTATTTCACATGCTGTTCGTCCAGGGTCGTGGTTTCCCCTGAGCCTATATCTGTACCACTCATTCCAACTTTTACTCTTGCCACGAATAGGAGGAAGTACGTTCCTACGAAACATCCGTAAGATCTATCAGACTACGCGGCGTCAACTTCCAGAATACTGTATTCTTCATAGTCACCGCCTTGAGATCATGAAATCCAAAAAAAGAAATTAATGTAAGGCCCAGAAGAACGGCTGTTAAGCCACATAAAAACGTCCGAGGAATAGAATATTATTGTAATACATCGCTAGATGGCAGTGATGCAGTGGTTTGTGTAAATAAAATAAGGGCATGGGTCTCTCCCGTCGTTTGTGACGCACGTTTTCATCTCTTTTGTTTTTGTGGTATGCATTCGAACTTATTTTTACAGTCGTTACGAAATCGTGGCAGTAAGATTTTCCAAGATGACATGTAAATGGGAATTGGCGGATGTTCGAGGGAAGTACTGGCGAGACCTGTTGCGACTGGAATTTACTACTTAGACCTACTTTCTTGTCGCTAACTTCTGCTCTGTTACTGCGCTGAATCGTAGATCTGCCACGATAAAAAAAAAGTAGTACATAACAGGGCGTTACATAAAATATATGATTCACGCTGGTCATTAACGTGGTTCAGATCATGTCATGGGTTATTTAACGACGCTTATTCACTTGACGTTATACAGCTTGGTTGTAAGGTGACAGAAAAATGATGAAATTGGAATAAGTCATGGCGTAATCGAGGTATTGTCGTAGCATTTGCCAGGAGGTTTTGAGGAAAACCACAAAAGGCCTAGGTTGTTATTTATAGACCATTCTGTTCGGTATATTTCAAAATTAACGAAATCAGTTACTTTTGCCCCTGTTTTCATATAAAGTCAAGTGAACTTAACGGAAATATTGTTCCAGTACTTAACCTTTTGGAGTCTTAATAGAAATTAATAGTGTTCGGAATTTCAGCGCATCTAACCATGTTGTGTGACATGAAAAGTACAGAAAACTGCTGTCATTAGAGCGTCTGGATTTCCTTTCCGCTGAAAATATATAAAGAACAGTTCTTGGAATAGCATTTTCCTTCTTTCAAATACTTCACTCCGTACTGTGAAACTAACAGTGTTAAATAATGAAGTGGGTTCTTAGTTTAATTAATCATTACGCTATCAAGACGTATTGACGTTTCATATTTTTACCTCATGACGGACGCAATTATACCCAGAAGAAGGGGGCACCAGATTCCTCCGAAACGTTGATAATGATCCACCACAGTACATAGCGTCACATCCTGTAAGATTTGTATCTTAAAATATCCTGACAGAAGAGTGAATAAATATTAACCCATTACAAGGTAATGGTAACTATGTGTACCGCTTGATTTAACATTAAGTAACGTATTTCTTCTATTTTTCTTCGTGGTATTCAGTTGGTTATGAAAACAAACGGTGATTGCTTCTATAAATGTTAGTCAACTGATTTTTGTAATGGAAATGCAGTGTGTTTTCTTGGCGGTAAGAACCTACACTTTCAGCTCTGAATAAAAAAGAAATGCTCCACTTTTGGTGCGATCACAAAGAAAAGTTAAAACGTGCACCGTTAGTTTCGCCATGTTTGTTTGTCCGTCCGTCCGGTCGCTCGCCCGAATGTAGCAACTGGGGAACCACTGAACAGATTTTCATGAAATTTGATATTGGGAATCTTAACGATTTTCGATGACAAATTCCATTCTGAGTTAAAAAAATACAGTAACGTGAACTTCGGGTCCTGCTTTTCCACATATTTATTTGTCCGAGTTAAAAAAAAATTCATTAATTATATTTCACACAACGTAGCAATGATATGCGCATACAGTATAAAGTAAAAAGACTCGCCTCGGTCAGGATTCGAACCTCATATTACCTAATTGGAAAACCACGGCGTTGTCCACTATGCCAGATGACTAATCGCGACTGTTTGTGAACTGAATAGTTTTTCGTTCATGACCTACTTCGTTGCTCTTTGACTGAAAATGGCAACTTTAGACAACTAAAATATGCAAAAGACCACAGTATAGATGGCCAGTAATACATTATTATTATTATTATTATATTTGTTGTCTGCAGGGATGTTGACGTATTCGGAGCCAGGAATGTTCTACCCAAACAAATTTTAAATATAGTATAACTGTTAGTATTTTTATTATTTGCATGTCCAGTAAAACAAAATGAATTACGTATATTATTATTATCCTCTGAAAATCTATACTATTCATTTCTTCATTAAATATTTATGTTTCATTCCTCAATTCGTAATAACACTTAGTTTAATGATAATGAAATTATTATTACTGTTATAATTATCAGTTATTTGTTTGTTTACTTTCACTTTTATTCATTATTATTTCTTCTAAGTACTTACCTGTAATTTGTATTTGGCCTTGCGGCTGTTGACTCGGCACATTAATAATAACGAATTGAATTGAATTATTATTATTATTATTATTATCA